GTGTGTGTGTGTGTGTGTGTGTGTGTGTGTGTGTGTACACAGCCAGTTTGGCACCCTAGGCAAGATTTCAGGTGACGCCCCTTGTGCAATTTTTGTTAATCTCACTGCTAATTTACATCCAYTGACATTCAGAATTAAAGACAGAAGGAACACCAACTCTCTTTATGTTTTAAAGCTGCAATGATCAGAAAGTGTAAAAATACAAAACTAGAATCAAAAATTTACAAAATTTCCTTTCAGWCCAGTTAAAACAGTTAACTTTATAATACATTTAAAACAGAATATCAGAAATCTATCTGCCAACATCTACTGACAGCGATGAGGAACACCTGTTCATGTTAACGACAGCTGTGCACTGAAACAGTTCTGGGGGGTCCATGGACATACTCCCCCAGACAATTATGTAAAAGATYTACTCAAAACTCTGCATTTTGAAGAGCATTTTACTATATTCTCAGGATTAATAAAAAAACAAAAACAACAACAAAAAAAAAAGAGTATTTTATGAAGGTAGAAGGTGTAATCTGAGATTATACCTGATATTTCCTTTATCCTTATTTTGTTTTCTATTTTACACACTGAGCACCAGTAGTTAGTCTTGACTGCATCTATGATATTTTTAGCCCAAAACACCCTCTGCATCATATAACTCCTCATGTAGTAAGAAAGCAACTGAGAAACCCACAGAACAACCGATCTTCATAAACCTGAGTAACCAGTCAATATTCTACAGATTAAATCAATTATATTCTGATAAAAAGTTATAAAATAGATTTTTCATCCCGTATCTGTGGCGACCCCTAGATGGACGATGCCCTTAGCATTTGCCTATACTGCCTATGCCACAGGGTGGCCCTGGTGTGCAGACTCTACATGCAGCTATGATCTCTTACCTCACTCTTCATCTTGTTTCTTTCAGGAGGAGTACGCTGCCCTCAAAGAGAAATATGCTGAACTCCTTGTAAGTTTTTTCCCCTTTCTTCTTTTCAGCCCTTGCACGGTGAGTTCCGTGTTTTCACGTTTGTTGTTTGCACAGGAAAGCTCACAGCGCCGGCACGACTTCCTGGCCTCTTTGTACGAGTACATGCAGAGCTGCAGCAAGGAGCTGGTCTACCTGTCAGGCCAGCAGGARCGGATCCTCCAGAGAGACTGGAGTGACCTGATGGTTGACCCCTCGGGCATTCGCATGGAGTATGAGGTGAGAAGTTAATGACATGTGGCTGCTAGTTTACTGTGTGAGACAACCAGATTAAAGACAGAATCTCCTTTCAGAGCAGATGGAGCTTCAGCAGGTTTAGGTTTAAAAGCGTTGGGCCTCATGCAGGAACATGTTCGTATTCTTATCCTAAATTTCTCTTACTTTTGTTCGTATGAAGGGTTCGTAC